TCCTGCAGGAGCTGACACAACAAAGGCAGGGAGTCCTGCAGGAGCTGACACAACAAAGGCAGGGAGTCCTGCAGGAGCTGACACAACAAAGGCAGGGAGTCCTGCAGGAGCTGACACAACAAAGGCAGGGAGTCCTGCAGGAGCTGACACAACAAAGGCAGGACGTCCTGCAGGAGCTGACACAACAAAGGCAGGGAGTCCTGCAGGAGCTGACACAACAAAGGCAGGACGTCCTGCAGGAGCTGACACAACAAAGGCAGGACGTCCTGCAGGAGCTGACACAACAAAGGCAGGACGTCCTGTAGGAGCTGACACAACCCAAAAGGGAGGACGTCCTGCAGGAGGTGACACAACAAAGGCAGGACGTCCTGCAGGAGTTGACACAACAAAGGCAGGACGTCCTGCAGGAGCTGACACAACAAAGGCAGGACGTCCTGCAGGAGCTGACACAACAAAGGCAGGGAGTCCTGCAGGGCTGACACAAAAAGGCAGGACGTCCTGCAGGAGCTGACACAACAAAGGCAGGACGTTCTGCAGGAGCTGACACAACAAAGGCAGGATGTCCTGCAGGAGCTGACACAACAAAGGCAGGACGTCCTGCAGGAGCTGACACAACAAAGGCAGGACGTCCTGCAGGAGCTGACACAACAAAGGCAGGACGTCCTGCAGGAGCTGACACAACAAAGGCAGGACGTCCTGCAGGAGCTGACACAACAAAGGCAGGACGTCCTGCAGGAGCTGACACAACAAAGGCAGGACGTCCTGCAGGAGCTGACACAACAAAGGCAGGACGTCCTGCAGGAGCTGACACAACAAAGGCAGGACGTCCTGCAGGAGCTGACACAACAAAGGCAGGAGTCCTGCAGGAGCTGACACAACAAAGGCAGGACGTCCTGCAGGAGCTGACACAACAAAGGCAGGACGTCCTGCAGGAGCTGACACAACAAAGGCAGGACGTCCTGTAGGAGCTGACACAACAAAGGCAGGACGTCCTGGCAGGAGCTGACACAACAAAGGCAGGACGTCCTGCAGGAGCTGACACAACAAAGGCAGGACGTCCTGCAGGAGCTGACACAACAAAGGCAGGACGTCCTGCAGGAGCTGACACAACAAAGGCAGGGAGTCCTGCAGGAGCTGACACAACAAAGGCAGGACGTCCTGCAGGAGCTGACACAACAAAGGCAGGACGTTCTGCAGGAGCTGACACAACAAAGGCAGGATGTCCTGCAGGAGCTGACACAACAAAGGCAGGACGTCCTGCAGGAGCTGACACAACAAAGGCAGGACGTCCTGCAGGAGCTGACACAACAAAGGCAGGACGTCCTGCAGGAGCTGACACAACAAAGGCAGGACGTCCTGCAGGAGCTGACACAACAAAGGCAGGACGTCCTGCAGGAGCTGACACAACAAAGGCAGGACGTCCTGCAGGAGCTGACACAACAAAGGCAGGACGTCCTGCAGGAGCTGACACAAACAAAGGCAGGACGTCCTGCAGGAGCTGACACAACAAAGGCAGGACGTCCTGCAGGAGCTGACACAACAAAGGCAGGACGTCCTGCAGGAGCTGACACAACAAAGGCAGGACGTCCTGCAGGAGCTGACACAACAAAGGCAGGACGTCCTGCAGGAGCTGACACAACAAAGGCAGGACGTCCTGCAGTAGCTGACACAACAAAGGCAGGACGTCCTGCAGGAGCTGACACAACAAAGGCAGGACGTCCTGCAGGAGCTGACACAACAAAGGCAGGACGTCCTGCAGGAGCTGACACAACAAAAGGCAGGACGTCCTGCTGGAGCTGACACAACAAAGGCAGGACGTCCTGCAGGAGCTGACACAACAAAGGCAGGACGTCCTGCAGGAGCTGACACAACAAAGGCAGGACGTCCTGCAGGAGGTGACACAACAAAGGCAGGGGGTCCTGCAGGAGGTGACAAAACAAAGGGCAGGACGCCTGCAGGGGCTGACACAACAAAGGCAGGCGTCCTGCTGGAGCTGACACAACAAAGGCAGGACGTCCTGCAGGAGCTGACACAACAAAGGCAGGACGTCCTGCAGGAGCTGACACAACAAAGGCAGGACGTCCTGCAGGAGGTGACACAACAAAGGCAAGGGAGTCCTGCAGGAGGTTTACACAACAAAGGCAGGACGTCCTGCAGGAGCTGACAAAAACAAAGGCAGGGGCGTCCTGCAGGAGCTGACACAACAAAGGCAGGACGTCCTGCAGGAGCTGACACAACAAAGGCAGGACGTCCTGCAGGAGCTGACACAACAAAGGCAGGACGTCCTGCAGGAGCTGACACAACAAAGGCAGGGAGTCCTGCAGGAGCTGACACAACAAAGGTAGGACGTCCTGCAGGAGCTGACACAACAACTTTATGGTCTACATTATTATTATAACGAAGGGGAAGCGCTAAATCCGTAGGATTATACAGCGCCTGAGGGGGATGTGGAAGGTAGTCATGTTTAATTCAGGGAACTGGAGCACAGTTCCAATTCCCGTGATCAAGAGCCCCTCACCAGCATCAAGGAACTTTCCTTGAGGGGCCTTGGATCAAGAGCCCCTCACCAGCATCAAGGAACTTTTCCCTTTAGGGGCCTTGGATCAAGAGCCCCTCACCAGCATCAAGGAACTTTCCTTGAGGGGCCTTGGATCAAGAGCCCCTCACCAGCATCAAGGAACTTTCCTTGAGGGGCCTTGGATCAAGAGCCCCTCACCAGCATCAAGGAACCTTCCTTGAGGGGACTTGGATCAAGAGCCCCTCACCAGCATCAAGGAACCTTCCTTGAGGGGCCTTGGATCAAGAGCCCCTCACCAGCATCAAGGAACTTTCCTTGAGGGGCCTTGGATCAAGAGCCCCCTCACCAGCATCAAGGAGCCTCCCCTGAGGGGTCTTGGATCAAGAGCCCCCTCACCAGCATCAAGAGCCTCCCCTGAGGGGTCTTGGATCAAGAGCCCCCCACCAGCATCAAGGAGCCTCCCCCGTGGGGGCCCTTTGGGTCAAGAAACCCCTCACCAGCATCAAGGAGCCTCACCTGAGGGGCCTTGGATCAAGAGCCCCTCACAAGCATCAAGGAACCTCCCCTGAGGGGCCTTGGATCAAGAGCCCCTCCCCAGCATCAAGGAACCTCCCCTGAGGGGCCTTGGATCAAGAGCCCCTCCCCAGCATCAAGGAGTCTCCCCTGTGGGGCCTTGGATCAAGAGCCGCTCCCCAGCATCAAGGAGCCTCCCCTGAGGGGCCTTGGTCAAGAGGCCCCTCCCCCGCATCAAGGAGCCTCCCCTGAGGGGCCCTTTGGGTCAAGAGCCCCTCCCCGCATCAAGGAACCTCCCCCGAGGGGCCTTGAATCAAGAGCCCTGCCCAGCATCAAGGGGGCCTCCCCTGAGGGGGCCCTTTGGGTCAAGAGCCCCTCCCCAGCATCAAGGAGCCTCCCCTGAGGGGCCTTGGATCAAGAACCCCTCCCCAGCATCAAGGAGCCTCCCCTGAGGGGCCTTGGATCAAGAGCCCCTCCCCAGCATCAAGGAGCCTCCCCTGAGGGGCCTTGGATCAAGAGCCCCTCCCCAGCATCAAGGAACCTCCCCTGAGGGGCCTTGGATCAAGAGCCCCTCCCAGCATCAAGTAGCCTCCCCTGAGGGGCCTTGGATCAAGAGCTCCTCCCCAGCATCAAGGAGCCTCCCCTGTGGGGCCTTGGATCAAGAGCCGCTCCCCAGCATCAAGGAGCCTCCCCTGAGGGGCCTTGGATCAAGAGCCCCTCCCCAGCATCAAGGAACCTGAGGGGTTATGACCTACAAAAGTTAAAATCAGATAAACAGCCTCGTTAATGGATGTTAAATAATGCAGGAAGGATAAATATTAGTTACTGGTTGTTAGTTACTGGTTGTTAGTTACTGGTTGTTAGTTACTGGTTGTTAGTTACTGGTTGTTAGTTATTGGTTGTTAGTTACTGGTTGTTAGTTACTGGTTGTTAGTTACTGGTTGTTAGTTACTGGTTGTTAGTTACTGGTTGTTAGTTACTGGTTGTTAGTTACTGGTTGTTAGTTACTGGTTGTTAGTTACTTGGTTGTTAGTTATTGGTTGTTAGTTACTGGTTGTTAGTTACTGGTTGTTAGTTACTGGTTGTTAGTTACGTTGTTAGTTACTGGTTGTTAGTTACTGGTTGTTAGTTACTGGTTGTTAGTTACTGGTTGTTAGTTACTGGTTGTTAGTTATTGGTTGTTAGTTACTGGTTGTTAGTTACTGGTTGTTAGTTACTGGTTGTTAGTTACTGGTTGTTAGTTACTGGTTGTTAGTTACTGGTTGTTAGTATTACTGGTTGTTAGTTACTGGTTGTTAGTTACTGGTTGTTAGTTACTGGTTGTTAGTTACTTGGTTGTTAGTTATGGTTGTTAGTTACTGGTGTTAGTTACTGGTTGTTAGTTACTGGTTGTTAGTTACTGGTTGTTAGTTACTGGTTGTTAGTTACTGGTTGTTAGTTACTGGTTGTTAGTTATTGGTTGTTAGTTATGGTTGTTTAGGTTTGTTGTTAGTTACTGGTTGTTAGTTACTGGTTGTTAGTTACTGGTTGTTAGTTACTGGTTGTTAGTTACTGGTTGTTAGTTATTGGTTGTTAGTTACTGGTTGTTAGTTACTGGTTGTTAGTTACTGGTTGTTAGTTACTGGTTGTTAGTTACTGGTTGTTAGAGGCGCTTGTTAGTGTGTAGGGCGAGTACTTTATTATTGTACTTATTTGTGGCTGTAGGGGTTGATTCACAGCTCCTGGCCCTTGCCTCTTCGCTGGTCGCTAATGGGTCCGCTCTCTCCTTGCTCCGTGTTGTGTGTGTGTGTGTGTGTGTGTGTGTGTGTGTGTGTGTGTGTGTTATATATATATATATATTATATAATATATATATATATATATATATATATATATATATATATATATATTATATATATATATATATATATATATACATATATATATCCTACGTCGCTACACACCGAGATAAAAAGTAGTGTAGACTGACCTTGTAGAGTGTGGGAGGGCCCTGAGCTAACAGGGCGACTGCCAGCTGCCAGACAGGTGGCTGCCGTCAGACCCATGGGAGAAGTGGGTCTTGAGGATGGGCGTGAAGACTGTAGTGGCAGCTCTGGGAGCGTGGGCGTGGAGTCAAGACTGTGGAGACGCTTGAGGACGGTAGGGATGGGCGGGCTGTTGCTCCTGGGTGGAAGTCTTTGCTCTGGGGCGAACTCTGGTACGTCGAACGTTGATTCACCTGAACAATTTTGTTAGATAAGATAACGTAAGATTTTCTTCGGATTTCTAACATGTAGGGTGAGCCACCCAAGGTAACCCAGGGAAGGGTGAGCCACTCAGGGTAACCCAGGGAAGGGTGAGCCACTCAGGGTAACCCAGGGAAGGGTGAGCCACCCAGGGTAACCCAGGGAAGGGTGAGCCACCCAGGGTAACCAGGGAAGGGTGAGCCACCCAGGGTAACCCAGGGAAGGGTGAGCCACCCAGGGTAACCCAGGGAAGGGTGAGCCACCCAGGGTAACCCAGGGAAGGGTGAGCCACCCAGGGTAACCCAGGGAAGGGTGAGCCACCCAGGGTAACCCAAGGAAGGGTGAGCCACCCAGGGTAACCCAGGGAAGGGTTATTACCAGTGTGATCTTGCAATCTTGTCCCCCAGGATGCCACCCTCACCAGTCGACTAACACCCAGGTACCTACTTACTGCTAAGTAAACGAGGAAAACAGGTGCAAGGGGACTAACACCCAGGTACCTACCTACTGCTAAGTAAACGGGGAAAACAGGTGCAAGGGGACTAACACCCAGGTACCTACCTACTGCTAAGTAAACGGGGAAAACAGGTGCAAGGGGACTAACACCCAGGTACCTACTTACTAGGTGAACGGGACAGCAGGCGTAAGAAAATCCATCCAATGTTTCCACCCGTGCCGGGGATTGAACCACTGACACTTAGTGTGTTGCAATGTTAAATTATCTACATAATTAGCATTTATGTTTAGGGGTAGAGGGACTCACCTGTCAGCTTCCGCATGAGTGCTGGTACTGGCGGTGATGCTGGCCGCAACGTAGGTGGAGACGCAGGTCGCTGCGTCGATACCTGTACGTCATTATCGTCATCTTCATCTATGTTCGTCACTTCTTGAGAGGTCAGAAGAGGCGGCGAAGAGGGTGACTGTGGTGGAAGAAACGGGATATCACTTTCCACTTCTATCCTGGACCAATTACCAGCCTTTAATATATATTTTTTTACCGATCACGGAATGACTATAATGCACCTAATTTCTCTTGATAAATATCAATAGGTACACCTTAAGTGTATGTAAGCCTTGTTCTTCCTCATATATTTTAATGTACATAATATATATATATATATATATATATATATAATAATATATAATATATATATATATATATATATATATATATATATATATATATATATATATATATATATATATATATATATATGATGAAAGATTGGATATCAGATTGGAGGGAGAGAGTATGGAGGAGGTGAATGTATTCAGATATTTGGGAGTGGACGTGTCAGCGTATGGGTCTATGAAAGATGAGGTGAATCATAGAATTGATGAGGGGAAAAGAGTGAGTGGTGCACTTAGGAGTCTGTGGAGACAAAGAACTTTGTCCTTGGAGGCAAAGAGGGGAATGTATGAGAGTATAGTTTTACCAACGCTCTTATATGGGTGTGAAGCGTGGGTGATGAATGTTGCAGCGAGGAGAAGGCTGGAGGCAGTGGAGATGTCATGTCTGAGGGCAATGTGTGGTGTGAATATAATGCAGAGAATTCGTAGTTTGGAAGTTAGGAGGAGGTGCGGGATACCAAAACTGTTGTCCAGAGGGCTGAGGAAGGGTTGTTTAGGTGGTTCGGACATGTAGAGAGAATGGAGCGAAACGGAATGACTTCAAGAGTGTATCAGTCTGTAGTGGAAGGAAGGCGGGATTTGGGGTCGGCCTAGGAAAGGTTGGAGAGAGGGGTAAAGGAGGTTTTGTGTGCGAGGGGCTTGGACTTCCAGCAGGTATGCATGAGCGTGTTTGATAGGACTGAATGGAGACAAATGGTTTTTAATACTTGACGTGCTGTTGGAGTGTGAGCAAAGTAACATTTATGAAGGGGTTCAGGGAAACCGGCAGGCCGGACTTGAGTCCTGGAGATGGGAAGTACAGTGCCTGCACTCTGAAGGAGGGGTGTTAATGTTGCAGTTTAAAAACTGTAGTGTAAAGCACCCTTCTGGCAAGACAGTGATGGAGTGAATGATGGTGAAAGTTTTTCTTTTTTGGGCCACCCTGCCTTGGTGGGAATCGGCCAGTGTGATAATAAATATATATATATATATATATATATATATTATATATATATATATATATATATATATATATATATATATATATATATATATATATATATATATATATATATATATATATATATATATATATATATATATATATATATATATATATATATATATATATATATATAATATATATATATATATATATATATATATATATATATATATTAAACCTCCCTGAGTAATATTTTTATCGACTAAAGGCAATAAGTGTTCGGCATCTCTACATAAGGTTGAATTTTTTCCTGCGCCATTAAATTGAAATAAGGAATATAAAGTGATGTGTTTGATCAGCTGCTAGACTGAGGGACTGACTATGTTGTCTTTCTGTATGTATCAACAACATTTAGGTTACGTCCTGGTGTGTGTGTGTGTGTGTGTGTGTGTGTGTACTCACCTAATTGTACTCACCTAATTGTGGTTGCAGGGGTCGAGACTCAGCTCCTGGCCCCGCCTCTTCACTGATCGCTACTGGATCCTCTCTCTCTCTGCTTCCTGAGCTTTGTCATACCTCTTCTTAAAACTATGTATGGTTCCTCCCTCCACTACTTCACTTGCTAGGCTATTCCACTTGCTGACAACTCTATGACTGAAGAAATACTTCCTAACGTCCCTGTGACTCGTCTGAGTCTTCAGCTTCCAGTTGTGACCCCTTGTCCCTGTGTCCCCTCTCTGGAACATCCTATCTCTGTCCACCTTGTCTATTCCCCGCAGTATCTTGTATGTCGTTATCATGTCTCCCCTGACCCTTCTGTCCTCCAGTGTCGTCAGTCCGATTTCCCTTAACCTTTCCTCGTACGACATTCCCTTGAGCTCTGGGACTAGCCTTGTTGCAAACCTTTGTACTTTCTCTAACTTCTTAACGTGCTTGACCAGGTGTGGGTTCCAGACTGGTGCTGCATACTCCAGTATGGGCCTAACATACACAGTGTACAGTGTCTTGAACGATTCCTTATTAAGGTATCGGAACGCTATTCTCAGGTTTGCCAGGCGCCCGTATGCTGCAGCGGTTATTTGGTTGATGTGTGCCTCCGGTGATGTGCTCGGTGTTATGGTCACCCTAAGGTCCTTCTCCCTGAGTGAGGTCTGTAGTCTTTGTCCACCCAGCCTATACTCTGTCTGCGATCTTCTTTGCCCCTCCCAATCTTCATGACTTTGCATTTGGCTGGATTGAATTCGAGAAGCCAGTTGCTGGACCACATGTCCAGCCTGTCCAGGTCTCTTTGCAGTCCTGCCTCATCCTCGTCCGATTTAATTCTTTTCATCAACTTCACGTCATCTGCGAACAGGGACACTTCAGTGTCTATTCCTTCCATCATGTCGTTCACATATATCAAAAATAGCACTGGTCCTAGAACTGACCCCTGTGGGACCCCGCTCGTAACAGGCGCCCACTGTGATACCTCTTCACGTACCATGACTCGTTGCTGCCTCCCTGTCAGGTATTCCCTTATCCATTGCAGTGCCCTCCCTTTTACGTGCGCCTGATCCTCCAGCTTCTGCACTAATCTCTTGTGGGGAACTGTGTCAAAGGCCTTCCTGCAGTCTAGGAAAATGCAATCTACCCACCCCTCTCTCTCGTGTCTTACTTCTATTACCTTGTCATAAAACTCCAGGAGGTTTGTGATACAAGATTTGCCTTCCATGAACCCATGCTGGTTTTCATATATAATCTTGTTCCTTTCCAGGTGTTCGAACCACTCTCCTCCTGATAATCTTCTCCATGACTTTGCACACAATACATGTCAGAGACACAGGTCTGTAGTTTAGTGCCTCGTTTCTGTTTCCTTTCTTAAATATGGGGACTACATTAGCTGTCTTCCATTTCTCAGGTAGTTGCCCAGTTTCAAGGGATGTGTTGAAGATTGTGGTTAGAGGTACGCACAGCATCTCTGCTCCTTCTCAAAGGGACCCATGGGGAGATGTTGTCCGGTCCCATCGCCTTTGAGGTGTCAAGGTCACTTAAGAGCTTCTTCACCTCCTCCTCAGTTGTTCGTATGTCATCCAACACTTGTTGGTATATTCCCTCTTGATGTTCCCTTCTGTGCTGTCTTCCCACAGCCCTTCCTGTCTCTCCTGTAAAAACTTCCTTAAATCTCCTGTTCAGCTCCTCACATACCTCCTGATCATTTCTTGTGAGTTCTCCACCTTCTGTCCTTAATCTGATCACCTGGTCTTTGACTGTTGTCTTCCTCCTGATGTGGCTATACAACAGTTTCGGGTCAGTCTTGATTCTCGATGCTATGTCATTTTCATACTGTCGCTGGGCCTCCCTCCTTACCTGTGCGTACTCATTCCTGGCTCTGCGACTGATCTCCCTATTTACGTGTGTTCTCTGCCTTCTGTACTTTTTCCATTCTCTATTGCACTTTGTTTTTGCCCCCTTACACCGTCGGGTAAACCAGGGGCTCGTTCTGGCCTTCCCGTTGTTACTGTTGCCCTTGGGAATAAACCTTTCCACTGCCTCCTTGCATTTTGTTGTTACATATTCCATCATTTCATTTACTGGCTTTCCTGCCAGTTCTCTGTCCCACTGGACCTCCTGCAGGAAGTTCTTCAACCCTATGTAGTCCCCTCTTTTATAGTCAGGCTTTTCCCATTCAACTCCTGTTATTCTCTCCACTTGCAGCTCTACTATGTATTCAAAGCACAGAACCACGTGGTCGCTAGCTCCTAGGGACTCTCATACTTGATGTCCTCAATATCTGAGCTGCCCAGGGTGAACACAAGGTCCAATCTTGCTGGTTCATCCTCCCCTCTCACTCTGGTAGTGTCCTTAACATGTTGGTGCATGAGGTTTTCCAGCACCACGTCCAACATCCTGGCTCTCCATGTTTCGGGACCCCCATGTGGCTCCAGGTTTTCCCAGTCAATCTCCCTGTGGTTGAAATCCCCCATAACCAGCAACTTTGCTCTGCTGGAGTGAGCTCTTCTTGCCACCTCAGCAAGTGCGTCCACCATTGCTCTGTTGCTCTCTTCATATTCCTCTCTTGGCCTCCTGCAGTTCTGTGGTGGATTATACATCACTGCAATGACCACTTTGTGTTCCCCTGCTATGTAGTCTCTTTCTCCCGTCTCATCTATTCCTTCCATTTTCTCGAATTTCCATCTGTTTTTTACGAGCAGAGCAACCCCACCTCCCCCCCTGCCCCTTCTATCTTTCCTCATGATCTGGTATCCTGGTGGGAAGATTGCATCTGTTATTGTCTCCATGAGTTTTGTTTCTGTAACTGCTATGATGTCTGGGGACTTCTCATTGATTCTTTCTTGCCATTCCTCATGTTTATTCGTTAATCCATCTGCATTTGTGTACCAAACCTTCAACTTCTGTTCTAATACTGTAACTGTGGTGCGGGGGGTGGAAACAGAGGGATCGGTGTGTGATGGTTGGTTTGGATTGTTCAGTTGCCTTGGGGGTGTCGTGGCTGGAGTCCTTCTGCAGGTGTTTCTGGGGGGTGCGCTTGTCCTTCCATTTGATCCTGGGTTATTCTGCTCTCCTTTTTCATTTCCTCCCATTTCTCCTTTCGTTTTTGAACTCTCTCTTTCATTGTCTTCCTTTCGTCCTGTGTTCTGTCTCGATCGAGGTACACACTCCGGAACTCCTGCTTGCCTCTCAGCCGTGCTTTCTCCTGCAGGATCATGGTTCGGGTTGATTCTGCCTTGAAAATTATTTTGAGAGGCCGATTCCTTTTCTTTGTGAACCACCCAATTCTCCGAAAATTTGCCACCTGGGTCATGCCCCCTCGCCTATCACCTTCATGATATCTTCAATCGCTTTTTTCTCCTCCTGCTTTCTTTCATCATAAGTTTCCCCTTTAGCTTCGTCTAGCCCATAGACAAACACGGATCTTTCCCTTTCCACCTCCCACTGTGACTCCCATTGCATCCTCTGATGTGTTTTAGTTCCTTCCCGTGGAGTGTTCCTTCCTTCAGTCCCTTCCCTAGTTATGGCCCCTATGCTTCTTGGTTTATCCTTCCTGCTCACCTGCTCCTGGCCCCCACAGGTATCTGGTAAGGTCCTTGCACATGTCCTAGTTCCTTCAATGTCTTCCAACCACTCATTCTGTCCTAGTGTGCTCCCTGTCTTTGTTTTGGCCCCATGTGGGTTTGATAGGACCTCTGCATACAGTTTAGTTTCCATGCTTCCTTCGGACCTGTCGTCTGTGTTTGATGTAGCCATTGCCGATGCTACTTCTGTAATATCTTTGTCTCTGTGCTGTTTCAGATGTCTCAGCTCCTCTTCTAATCTCTCTATCTTGATTTCTGCTGCTGTGGCCTGTTGCTTCCACCTTCTGCATTCTGCTGCTAACCTCTCTTCCATCTTCCTTTCCAGCTCATCTAGTCTCCTTCCCCAGTCTTCCTCCCTTTTTTTGAGCTCTACCTCCCATTCCTCCCTCTCAGATTCGTCCTTGTGTGTGTGTGTGTGTGTGTGTGTGTGTGTGTGTGTGTGTGTTGTGTGTGTGTGTGTGTTGTGTGTGTGTGTGTGTGTGTGTGTGTGTGTGTGTGTGTGTGTGTGTCTGTGTGTGTATTGTGTGTGTGTATGTGTATGTGTGTGTGTGTGTATGTGTGTGTGTATGTGTTGGTGTGTGTTGTGTGTGTATGTGTGTGTGCTTGTGTGTGTGTGTATGTGTGTACTCACATAGTTGTACTCACCTAGTTGAGGTTGCAGGGGTCGAGTCCGAGCTCCTGGCCCCGCCTCTTCACTGGTCGCTACTAGGTCACTCTCCCTGAACCGCGAGCTTTATCATACCTCTGCTTAAAGCTATGTATGGATCCTGCCTCCACTACATCGCTTCCCAAACTATTCCACTTCCTGACTACTCTGTGGCTGAAGAAATACTTCCTAACATCCCTGTGATTCATCTGTGTCTTCAACTTCCAACTGTGTCTCCTTGTTGCTGTGTCCAGTCTCTGGAACATTCTGTCTTTGTGGTGTGTGTGTGTGTGTGTGTGTGTGTGTGTGTGTGTGTGAACACTGTTATCATGATTAAGTGTGGTTGTAATGGCTACCTTGACAGGTTGTGGTGAGAGTGACCTACCTTGACAGGTTGTGGTGAGAGTGACCTACCTTGACAGGTTGTGGTGAGAGTGACCTACCTTGACAGGTTGTGGTGAGAGTGACCTACCTTGACAGGTTGTGGTGAGAGTGACCTACCTTGACAGGTTGTGGTGAGAGTGACCTACCTTGACAGGTTGTGGTGAGAGTGACCTACCTTGACAGGTTGTGGTGAGAGTGACCTACCTTGACAGATTGTGGTGAGAGTGACCTACCTTGACAGGTTGTGGTGAGAGTGACCTACCTTGGCAGGTTGTGGTGAGAGTGACCTACCTTGACAGGTTGTGGTGAGAGTGACCTACCTTGACAGGTTGTGGTGAGAGTGACCTACCTTGACAGGTTGTGGTGAGAGTGACCTACCTTGACAGGTTGTGGTGAGTGACCTACCTTGGCAGGTTGTGGTGAGAGTGACCTACCTTGACAGGTTGTGGTGAGAGTGACCTACCTTGAAAGGTTGGGGTGAGAGTGACCTACCTTGACAGATTGTGGTGAGAGTGACCTACCTTGACAGGTTGTGATGAGAGTGACCTATGTTGACAGGTTGTGGTGAATGACCTACCTTGACAGGTTGTGGCGAGAGTGACCTAACTTGACAGGTTGTGGTGAGAGTGACCTACCTTGACAGGTTGTGGTGAGAGTGACCTACCTTGACAGGTTGTGGTGAGAGTGACCTACCTTGACAGATTGTGGTGAGAGTGACCTACCTTGACAGGTTGTGGTGAGAGTGACCTACCTTGACAGGTTGTGGTGAGAGTGACCTACCTTGAGAGGTTGTGGTGAAGTGACCTACCTTGACAGGTTGTGGTGAGAGTGACCTACCTTGACAGGTTGTGGTGAGAGTGACCTCCCTTGACAGGTTGTGGTGAGAGTGACCTACCTTGACAGGTTGTGGTGAGAGTGACCTACCTTGACAGGTTGTGGTGAGAGTGACCTACCTTGACAGGTTGTGGTGAGAGTGACCTACCTTGACAGGTTGTGGTGAGAGTGACCTACCTTGACAGGTTGTGGTGAGAGTGACCTACCTTGACAGGTTGTGGTGAGAGTGACTGGTGTAGAGCTGGTGTGAGGGAAGGTTTGATGACTGGCCACTGTCTGGGTGACCCAGTACTTCCTCGACTGCCTCTCCTCCTCCTCTCCCGCGGTGATGGTGACCTGAACAGCACAATACAGTCACTTATATCATATCTTGTGACGAATACTACACAAAACACACGCACCTATGAGAGAGCGGCTTAGGACGCCGTTTCGGTCCCACTTGTAAATGATCCAAGTCGGACAGAAACGTTGTCGTAAGCTCCTGTCTCCCAGGTGCGGGTTATCTGTGTATTTCTCCAGTAACTGTATTGTTCCATTATGTTATTTGTGAAGAACATATTGACATAACATCAGTAGTGTTCAACTCCAACACGAGAGCACACAAGTGTGTGTTTACGCTGGACTACGACAGCACACAAGTGTGTGTTTACGCTGGACTACGACAGCACACAAGTGTGTGTTTACGCTGGACTACGACAGCACACAAGTGTGTGTTTACGCTGGACTACGAACAGCACACAAGTGTGTGTTTACGCTGGACTACGACAGCACACAAGTGGGTGTTTACGCTGGACTACGACAGCACACAAGTGTGTGTTTACGCTGGACTACGACAGCACACAAGTGTGTGTTTACGCTGGACTACGACAGCACACAAGTGTGTGTTTACGCTGGACTACGAGACAGTGTCGACAAGTTAGCATCAGAGACAAGCATTGCCTTGTTTAAACTACAAGTGTAAATAAACTAACATGACGGGTATGTAAAAATACCATATTTAAAACTGGAAATAAAACGAGAGCGGTTTCACGCATCAGCACATGAAAACTCTCAGGTTTTATGTACCGTTTTCGTTTTTTTTTTTTTTACATGTTTGAATCAAGCGTTTTATTGTGATTTCTTTGATGATTAATATGCAGGAATGAGGCAGGAGGCTGCAAGTGACACTTCGGCACTGTAAGTGACACTTCGGCACTGTAAGTGACACTTCGGCACTGTAAGTGACACTTCGGCACTGTAAGTGACACTTCGGCACTGTAAGTGACACTTACAGTACTGTAAGTGACACTTCGGCACTGTAAGTGACACTTCGGCACTGTAAGTGACACTTCGGCACTGTAAGTGACACTTCGGCACTGTAAGTGACACTTCGGCACTGTAAGTGACACTTCGGCACTGTAAGTGACACTTCGGCACTGTAAGTGACACTTACAGTACTGTAAGTGACACTTACAGTACTGTAAGTGACACTTCGGCACTGTAAGTGACACTTCGGCACTGTAAGTGACACTTCGGCACTGTAAGTGACACTTCGGCAATGTAAGTGACACTTCGGCACTGTAAGTGACACTTCGGCACTGTAAGTGACACTTACAGTACTGTAAGTGACACTTACAGTACTGTAAGTGACACTTCGGCACTGTAAGTGACACTTACAGTACTGTAAGTGGCACTTCAGTACTGTAAGTGGCACTTCAGTACTGTAAGTGGCACTTCAGTACTATAAGTGGCACTTCAGTACTGTAAGTGGCACTTCAGTACTGTAAGTGGCACTTCAGTACTACAAGTAACACCTCAGTACTACAAGTAACACCTCAGTACTACAAGTAACACTTCAGTACTACAAGTAAAAACTTCAGTACTACAAGTAACACTTCAGTACTAAAAGTAACACTTCAGTACTACAAGTAACACTTCAGTACTACAAGTAACACCTCAGTACTACAAGTAACACCTCAGTACTACAAGTAACACTTCAGTACTACAAGTAACACTTCAGTACTACAAGTAACACTTCAGTACTAAAAGTAACACTTCAGTACTACAAGTAACATTTCAGTATTACAAGTAACACTTCAGTACTACAAGTAACACTTCAGTACTACAAGTAACACCTCAGTACTACAAGTAACACCTCAGTACTACAAGTAACACTTCAGTACTACAAGTAACACTTCAGTACTACAAGTAACACTCAGTACTAAAAGTAACACTTCAGTACTACAAAATAACACTTCAGTACTACAAGTAACACTTCAGTACTACAAGTAACACTTCAGTACTACAAGTAACACTTCAGTACTACAAGTAACACCTCATTACTACAAGTAACACTTCAGTACTACAAACAACACTTCAGTACCACAAGTAACACCACAGTACTACAAGTAACACCACAGTACTACAAGTAACACTTCAGTACTACAAGTAACACTTCAGTACTACAAGTAACACTTCAGTACTACAAGTAACACCACAGTACTACAAGTAACACCTCAGTAATACAAGTAACACTTCAGTACTACAAGTAACACTTCAGTACTACAAGTAACACCTCAGTTCTACAAGTAACACTTCAGTACTACAAGTAACACTTCAGTACTACAAGTAACACTTCAGTACTACAAGTAACACAACAGTACTACAAGTAACACTTCAGTACTACAAGTAACACTTCAGTACTACAAGTAACACTTCAGTACTACAAGTAACACTTCAGTACTACAAGTAACACCACAGTACTAAAAGTAACACTTCAGTACTACAAGTAACACCTCAGTACTACAAGTAACACTTCAGTACTACAAGTAACACCTCAGTACTACAAGTAACACCTCAGTACTACAAGTAACACTTCAGTACTACAAGTAACACCACAGTACTACAAGTAACACTTCAGTACTACAAGTAACACCTCAGTACTACAAGTAACACTTCAGTACTACAAGTAACACCTCAGTACTACAAGTAACACCTCAGTACTACAAGTAACACTTCAGTACTACAAGTAACACTTCAGTACTACAAGTAACACCACAGTACTACAATTAACACTTCAGTACTACAAGTAACACCTCAGTACTACAAGTAACACTTCAGTACTACAAGTAACACCTCAGTACTACAAGTAACACTTCAGTACTACAAGTAACACTTCAGTACTACAAGTAACACTTCAGTACTACAAGTAACACTTCAGTACTACAAGTAACACTTCAGTACTACAAGTAACACTTCAGTACTACAAGTAACATCACAGTACTACAAGTAACACTTCAGTACTACAAGTAACACCTCCAGTACTACAAGTAACACCTCAGTACTACAAGTAACACTTCAGTACTACAAGTAACACTTCAGTACTACAAGTAACACCACAGTACTACAAGTAACACTTCAGTACTACAAGTAACACCACAGTACTACAAGTAACACTTCAGTACTACAAGTAACACCTCAGTACTACAAGTAACACCTCAGTACTACAAGTAACACTTCAGTACTACAAGTAACACTTCAGTACTACAAGTAACACCACAGTACTACAATTAACACTTCAGACTACAAGTAAACCCTCAGTACTACAAGTAACACTTCAGTACTACAAGTAACACCTCAGTACTACAAGTAACACCACAGTACTACAAGTAACACTTCAGTACTACAAGTAACACCTCAGTACTACAAGTAACACCTCAGTACTACAAGTAACACTTCAGTACTACAAGTAACACTTCAGTACTACAAGTAACACCTCAATACTACAAGTAACACTTCAGTACTACAAGTAACACCTTAGTACTACAACACCTCAGTACTACAAGTAACACTTCAGTACTACAAGTAACACTTCAGTACTACAAGTAACACTTCAGTACTACAAGTAACACCCCAGTATACAAGTAACACTTCAGTACTACAAGTAACACCTCAGTTCTACAAGTAACACTTCAGTACTACAAGTAACACCTCAGTACTACAAGTAACACTTCAGTACTACAAGTAACACTTCAGTACTACAAGTAACACTTCAGTACTACAAGTAACACTTCAGTACTACAAGTAACACCACAGTACTACAAGTAACACTTCAGTACTACAAGTAACACCTCAGTACTACAAGTAACACTTCAGTACTACAAGTAACACCTCAGTACTACAAGTAACACCTCAGTACGACAAGTAACACTTCAGTACTACAAGTAACACCACAGTACTACAAGTAACACTTCAGTACTACAAGTAACACCTCAGTTACTACAAGTAACACTTCAGTACTACAAGTAACACTTCAGTACTACAAGTAAACACCTCGTACTACAAGTAACACTTCAGTACTACAAGTAACACCTCAGTACTACAAGTAACACTTCAGTACTACAAGTAACACCTCAGTGCTACAAGTAACACCACAGTACTGCAAGTAACACTTCAGTACTACAAGTAACACTTCAGTACTACAAGTAACACCACAGTACTACAAGTAACACTTCATTACTACAAGTAACACTTCAGTACTACAAGTAACACTTCAGTACTACAAGTAACACCACAGTACTACAAAGTAACACCTCAGTACTACAAGTAACACCACAGTACTACAAGTAACACTTCAGTACTACAAGTAACACTTCAGTACTACAAGTAACACCACAGTACTACAAAATAACACCACAGTACTACAAGTAACACTTCAGTACTAAAGTAACACCTCAGTAACAAGTAACACCTCAGTTTCGACAAGTAACACTTCAGTACTACAAGTAACACCTCAGTAAATACAAGTAACACCACAGTACTACAAGTAACACTTCAGTACTACAAGTAACACCCTCAGTACTACAAGTAACACATCAGTACTACAAGTAAACACCACAGTACTACAAGTAACACTTCAGTACTACAAGTAACACCTCAGTACTACAAGTAACACCTCAGTACGACAAGTAACACTTCAGTACTACAAGTAACACCACAGTACTACAAGTAACACTTCAGTACAACAAGTAACACCTCAGTACTACAAGTAACACTTCAGTACTACAAGTAACACTTCAGTACTACAAGTAACACCTCAGTACTACAAGTAACACTTCAGTACTACAAGTAACACCTCAGTACTACAAGTAACACTTCAGTACTACAAGTAACACCTCAGTACTACAAGTAACACCACAGTACTGCAAGTAACACTTCAGTACTACAAGTAACACTTCAGTACTACAAGTAACACCACAGTACTACAAGTAACACTTCATTACTACAAGTAACACTTCAGTACTACAAGTAACACTTCAGTACTACAAGTAACACCACAGTACTACAAGTAACACCTCAGTACTACAAGTAACACCACAGTACTACAAGTAACACTTCAGTACTACAAGTAACACTTCAGTACTACAAGTAACACCACAGTACTACAAGTAACACCACAGTACTACAAGTAACACCTCAGTACTACAAGTAACACCTCAGTACTACAAGTAACACATCAGTACTACAAGTAACACCACAGTACTACAAGTAACACCACAGTACTACATTATAACACCTCAGTACTACAAGTAACACCTCAGTACTACAAGTAACACTTCAGTACTACAAGTAACACTTCAGTACTACAAGTAACACCACAGTACTACAAGTAACACCTCAGTACTACAAGTAACACCACAGTACTACAAGTAACACTTCAGAACTACAAGTAACACTTCAGTACTACAAGTAACACCACAGTACTACAAGTAACACCTCAGTACTACAAGTAACACCACAGTACTACAAGTAACACCACAGTACTACAAGTAACACCTCAGTACTACAAGTAACACCACAGTACTACAAGTAACACCACAGTACTACAAGTAACACCTCAGTACTACAAGTAACACCACAGTACTACAAGTAACACCTCAGTACTACAAGTAACACCACAGTACTACAAGTAACACCACAGTACTACAAGTAACACCACAGTACTACAAGTAACACCACAGTACTACATTATAACACCTCAGTACTACAAGTAACACCAAAGTAGTACAAGTAACACCTCAGTACTACAAGTAACACCACAGTACTACAAGTAACACCACAGTACTACAAGTAACACCACAGTACTACATTATAACACCTCAGTACTACAAGTAACACCACAGTACTACAAGTAACACCACAGTACTACATTATAACACCTCAGTACTACAAGTAACACCACAGTACTACAAGTAACACCACAGTACTACATTATAACACCTCAGTACTACAAGTAACACCACAGTACTACAAGTAACACCTTGATGTTACTTGTAGTACTGAGGTGTTATAAGGCGCATATAAGGCATATAAGGCATATAAGGCGCACGGTGATATGAGACATGTAACATGTAACGTAACGTTACTAAACAACCGGTGGCCCGGTGGCCTGGTGGCTAAAGCTCCCGCTTCACACACGGAGGGCCCGGGTTCGATTCCCGGCGGGTGGAAACATTTCGACACGTTTCCTTACACCTATTGTCCTGTTCACCTAGCAGCAAATAGGTACCTGGGTATTAGTGGACTGGTGTGGGTGGCATCCTGGGGGACAAGATTAAGGACCACACTGGAAATAAGTTAGACAGTCCTCGATGACGCACTGACTTTTTTGGGTTAGCCTGGGTGGCTAACCCTCAGGGGTTAAAAATCCGAACGAAATCTTATCTTATCTTAACTGCTTACGTGTAACCCACAGTCTAACCTTGACCGTGATCTTGAGCACATAAGACGCAGGATGATTTTCCAAGACTTTCTGTGGGAAATAAAGCGCGCCTTACATGCCGGAAAACACTTGACGTTCTGATAAAATAGCAGCTGAGACGAGTCCCAGAAACCTGGGACAATCTCTGGGTCTTAATATATTAAAATTATATAGTCAATTACAGATCTACTGTCACATATTCTGCTGCGGGGAGATGAAACAATGATATAAGCGATTATTATTATTATTATTATTATTAATTATATTATAATTATATTATTATTATTATTATTATTATTATTATTATTATTATTATTATTTATTATATTATTTTATTATTATTTATATTATTATTATTATTATTATTATTATATATTATTATTATTATTATTATTATTATTATTATTATTATTATAATTATTATTATTATTATTATTATTATTAATTATTATTATATTATTATTATATTATTATTATTATTATTATTATATTTATTATTATTATTATTATTATTATTATATTATTATTATTATTATTATTATTATTATTATTATTATTATTATTATTATTATTATTATTATTTAAATTTTATTATTATTATTATTATTATTATTATTATTATTATTATTATTATTATTATTATTATTATTATTATTATTATTATTATTATTATTATTATTATATATATTATTATTATTATTATGTATTATTTGTTATGATTTATTTATTATTATGTATTTAATATATTCCTTATTTTTTCTCCTGTGTTATTGCTTGTAGTAGATCCTATTGTATATACTTGTTAATATCGCTACTTTTAGTGTCCCTGGACACTTGTATCACCTGGACTTGTAGGGCCCCTGGACTTGTAGGTCCTGGACTTGTAAGCCTGGACTTGTAGGGTCCCTGGACTTGTAGGGTCCCTGGACTTGTAAGTCCCGCTTGTAGGGCCCTTGGTAGAATCCCTGGGCTTGTATGACCCCTGGACTTGTAAGGTCCCTGGACTTGTAGGGCCCCTGGACTTGTAAGGTCCCTGGACTTGTAGGGCCCCTGGACTTGTAAGGTCCCTGGACTTGTAATCATTGTAGGCCCCGGACTTGTAAGGTCCTGAAATTGTAAAGGTCCCTGGAACTTGTAAGGTCCCTGGACTTGTAGGGCCCCTGGACTTGTAAGGTCCCTGGACTTGTAATATGAGTTCGCAGACGAGCGAAATTATTTACAAACAGCATCTCTCAGCCCACAACAGGATTCGAACTGACACCTCTGCACAACCAGTATTCTGACCGGTGTAGTGACGCGTACATTGATACATAGTGTGCAGGTTCGAATCCTGCCGCGGACTGAGAGATAATGTAAATATAAGAAAATAATGAGAAACTCACCTGGATATATCCGAGGAGAGTGACTCCTGACGTGACTTGTCCCAGGTCTTGCGTCTACGACGGTGTAGGTGAGGCTGGTCACTCTCCTCTGTACCTGTGTCTTGGTCACACCTGCTCAGCGACCTGTTTAACACATGTAAACCTTTATTCATTAGTCACTCCAGGTAATTATATATGATGTACGCTTTCAATCAAATTTATACTAGCTTTAATATATTTTTGCGTATACCACGCTTTCACCTGTGTCCTGGCACTCCCTCACCTGCGTCCTGGCACCCCGTCACCTGTGTCCTGGCACTGCCCCACCTGTGTCCTGGCACTCCCTCACCTGTGTCCTGGCACTCTCTCACCTGTGTCCTGGCACTCCCTCACCTGCGTCCTGGCACTCTCTCACCTGTGTCCTGGCACTCCCTCACCTGCGTCCTGGCACTCTCTCACCTGTGGGCCTGGCACTCCCTCACCTGCGTCCTGGCACTCTCTCACCTGTGTCCTGGCACTCCCTCACCTGCGTCCTGGCACTCTCTCACCTGTGTCCTGGCACTCCCTCACCTGTGTCCTGGCACTCCCTCACCTGCGTCCTGGCACTCTCTCACCTGTGTCCTGGCACTCCCTCACCTGTGTCCTGGCACTCCCTCACCTGTGTCCTGGCACTGCTTCACCTGTGTCCTGGCACTCCCTCACCTGTGTCCTGGCACTCCCTCACCTGCGTCCTGGCACCCCCTCACCTGTGTCCTGGCACTGCTTCACCTGTGTCCTGGCACTCCCCTCACCTTGTCTGCACTACTCCTCACCTGCGTCCTGGCACTCCCTCACCTGTGTCCTGGCACTCCCTCACCTGCGTCCTGGCACTCCCTCACCTGTGTCCTGGCACTCCCTCACCTGCGTCCTGGCACCCCCTCACCTGTGTCCTGGCACTGCCCCACCTGTGTCCTGGCACTCCCTCACCTGTGTCCTGGCACTCCCTCACCTGCGTCCTGGCACCCCGTCACCTGTGTCCTGGCACTCCCTCACCTGCGTCCTGGCACCCCGTCACCTGTGTCCTGGCACTCCCTCACCTGCGTCCTGGCACTCTCTCACCTGTGTCCTGGCACTGCCCCACCTGTATCCGCACTCCCCACCTGTCCTGCATCCCTCACCTGTGTCCTGGCACTCCCTCACCTGTGTCCTGGCACCCCTCACCTGTGTCCTGGCACTCCCTCACCTGTGTCCTGGCACCCCGTCACCTGTGTCCTGGCACTCCCTCACCTGCGTCCTGGCACCCCGTCACCTGTGTCCTGGCACTCCCTCACCTGCGTCCTGGCACTCTCTCACCTGTGTCCTGGCACTGCCCCACCTGTATCCTGGCACTCCCTCACCTGTGTCCTGGCACTCCCTCACCTGTGTCCTGGCACTCCCTCACATGTGTCCTGGCACTCCTTCACCTGTGTCCTGGCACTCCCTCACATGTGTCCTGGCACTCCCTCACCTGTGTCCTGGCACTCCCTCACATGTGTCCTGGCACTCCTTCACCTGTGTCCTGGCACTGCCCCACCTGTGTCCTGGCACTCCCTCACCTGTGTCCTGGCACTCCCTCACCTGTGTCCTGGCACTCCCTCACCTGTGTCCTGGCACCCCCTAACTTGTGTCCTGGCACTCCCTCACCTGTGTCCTGGCACCCCCTCACCTGCGTACTGGCACCCCTCACCTGTGTCCTGGCGCTCCCTCACTTGTGTCCTGGCACTCCCACATCTGTGTCCTGGCACTCCCTCACCTGTGTCCTGGCACTCCCTCACCTGTGTCCTGGCACCCCCACCTGTGTCCTGGCACTCCCTCACCTGTGTCCTGGCACTCCCTCACCTGTGTCCTGCACCCCCTCACCTGTGTCCTGGCACTCCCTCACCTGTGTCCTGGCACCCCCTCACCTGTGTCCTGGCACTCCCTCACCTGTGTCCTGGCCCCTCACCTGTGTCCTGGCACTCCACACTGTGTCCTGGCACTCCCTCACCTTGTCCTGGCACTCCTCACCTGTGTCCTGGCCCCCTCACCTGTGTCCTGGCACTCCCTCACCTGTGTCCTGGCACTCTCTCACTGTGTCCTAGGCACTCCCCTAACCTGTGTCCTGGCACTCCCTCACCTGTGTCCTGGCACCCCCTAACTTGTGTCCTGGCAATCCCTCACCTGTGTCCTGGCACCCGTCACCTGTGTCCTGGCACTCCCTCACCTGTGTCCTGGCACTGCCCTCACCTGTGTCCTGGCACTCCCTCACCTGCGTCCCTGGCACTCCCTCACCTGTGTCCTGGCACCCCTCAACTTGTGTCCTGGCACTCCCTCACCTGTGTCCTGGCACCCCCTTGCCTCCCTCACCTGTGTCCTGGCACTCCCTCACCTGTGTCCTGGCACCTCCCTCACTGTGTCCTGGCACCCCCTCACCTGTGTCCTGCACTCCCTCACCTTGTCCTGGCACTCCTCACCTGTGTCCTGGCACTCCCTCACTGTGTCCTGGCATCCTCACCTGTGTCCTGGCACTCCCCACCTGTGTCCTGGCACTGCCCCACCTGTGTCCTGGCACTCCCTCACCTGTGTCCTGGCACTCCCTCACCTGTGTCCTGGCACCCCCTAACTTGTGTCCTGGCACTCCCTCACCTGTGTCCTGGCACCCCCTCACCTGTGTCCTGGCACTCCCTCACCTGTGTCCTGGCACTGCCTCACCTGTGTCCTGGCACTGCCCCACCTGTGTCCTAGCACTCCCTCACCTGTGTCCTGGCACTCCCTCTCCTGTGTCCTGGCACTCCCTCACCTGTGTCCTGGCACTGCCCCATCTGTGTCCTGGCACTCCCTCACCTGTGTCCTTGCACTGCCTCACCTGTGTCCTGGCACTACCCCACCTGTGTCCTGGCACCCCCTAACTTGTGTCCTGGCACTCCCTCACCTGTGTCCTGGGACTGCCTCACCTGTGTCCTGGCACTGCCCCACCTGTGTACTGGCACTGCCCCACCTGTGTCCTGGCACTGCCCCACCTGTGTACTGGCACTGCCCCACCTGTGCCCTGGCACTGCCCCACCTGTGTCCTGGCACTGCCCCACCTGTGTACTGGCACTGCCCCACCTGTGTCCTGGCACTGCCCCATCTGTGTCCTGGCACTGCCCCACCTGTGTACTGGCACTGCCCCACCTGTGTCCTGGCACTGCCCCACCTGTGTCCTGGCACTGCCCCACCTGTGTACTGGCACTGCCCCACCTGTGTACTGGCACTGCCCCACCTGTGTCCTGGCACTGCCCCACCTGTGTACTGGCACTGCCCCACCTGTGTCCTGGCACTGCCCCACCTGTGTCCTGGCACTGCCCCACCTGTGTACTGGCACTGCACCACCTGTGTACTGGCACTGCCCCACCTGTGTCCTGGCACTGCCCCACCTGTGTCCTGGCACTGCCCCACCTGTGTCTTGGCACTGCCTCACCTGTGTCCTGGCACTGCCCCACCTGTGTCCTGGCATTGCCCCACCTGTGTCCTGGCACTGCCCCACCTGTGTCCTGGCACTGCCTCACCTGTGTCCTGGCACTGCCCCACCTGTGTCCTGGCACTGCCCCACCTGTGTCCTGGTACTGCCCCACCTGTGTCCTGGTACTGCCCCACCTGTGTCCTGGCACTGCCCCACCTGTGTCCTGGCACTGCCTCACCTGTGTCCTGGCACTGCCTCACCTGTGTCCTGGCACTGCCCCACCTGTGTCCTGGCACTGCCCCACCTGTGTCCTGGCACTGCCTCACCTGTGTCCTGGTACTGCCCCACCTGTGTCCTGGTACTGCCCCACCTGTGTCCTGGCACTGCCCCACCTGTGTCCTGGCACTCCTCGCCTGATATAAAACGCCTTCTAACATAAACTACATATTACTCTCAAAGCATATTTGTACATAATTTTTACGGTTTTTATGCTATTAAAAGTTCAGAAACTGACATCACGTTTATTCCAAGTGATGACGCAGTTGAATCAAGGTTTAATGATGCTGACCTGGCAGCCCGTCGTCTCAGCCGTCGGTTGGAGTAAGGATCCTTCTCTGACTGCTTCCTGTAAGGTCTGTCACTGTGGTTGTGGCCCCAGGGTGGCCGAGCATCACTGCTGTGACCACTCTCTCGAGGCAAGGATGTTGTGCTCCTTCTGCCTACACGCTTACGGGACTCCCTCCGTGGACTGCTTCTGAGGGAGAGGCATGGGATGGTGGTTAGTGAGGGAGAGGCATGGGATGGTGGTTGGTGAGGGAGAGGCATGAGATGGTGGTTAGTGAGGGAGAGGCATGAGATGGTGGTTAGTGAGGGAGAAGCATGGGATGGTGGTTGGTGAGGGAGAGGCATGAGATGGTGGTTAGTGAGGGAGAGGCATGGGATGGTAGTTAGTGAGGGAGAAGCATGGGATGGTAGTGAGGGAGTGGCATGGGATGGTAGTTAGTGATGGAGAGGCATGGGTTGGGGGTTAGTGAGGGAGAGGCATGGGTTGGTGGTTAGTGAGGGAGAAGCATGGGTTGGTGGTTAGTGAGGGAGAGGCATGGGTTGGTGGTTAATGAGGGAGAGGCATGGGTTGGTGGTTAGTGAGGGAGAGGCATGGGTTGGTGGTTAGTGGGGGAGAGTCATGGGTTGGTGGTTAGTGGGGGAGAGGCATGGGTTGGTGGTTAGTGAGGGAGAGTCATGGGTTGGTGGTTAGTGGGGGAGAGGCATGGGTTGGTGGTTAGTGGGGGAGAGGCATTGGATGGTAGTTAGTGAGGGAGAGTCATGAGATGGTGGTTAGTGAGGGAGAGTCATGAGATAGTGGTTAGTGAGGGAGAGGCATGAGATAATGGTTAATGAGGGAAAGGCATGGGATGGTGGTTAGTGAGGGAGAGGCATGGGATGGTAGTTAGTGAAGGAGAGGCATGGGATGGTAGTTAGTTGAGGAGAGGCATGGGATGGTAGTTAGTGAGGGAGAGGCATGGGATGGTAGTTAGTGAGGGAGAGGCATGGGATGGTAGTTAGTGAGGGAGAGGCATGGGATGGTAGTTAGTGAGGGAGAGGCATGGGATGGTAGTTAGTGAGGGAGAGGCATGGGATGGTAGTTAGTGAGGGAGAGGCATGGGATGGTAGTTAGTGAGCTAGAGGCATGGGATGGTAGTTAGTGAGGGAGAGGCATGGGATGTAGTTAGTGAGGGAGAGGCATGGGATGGTAGTTAGTGAGGGAGAGGCATGGGATGGTAGTTAGTGAGGGAGAGGCATGGGATGGTAGTTAGTGAGGGAGAGGCATGGGATGGTAGTTAGTGAGGGAGAGGCATGGGATGGTAGTTAGTGAGTGAGAGGCATGGGATGGTAGTTAGTGAGGGAGAGGCATGGGATGGTAGTTAGTGAGGAGAGGCATGGGATGGTAGTTAGTGAGGGAGAGGCATGGGATGGTAGTTAGTGAGGGAGAGGCATGGGATGGTAGTTAGTGAGGGAGAGGCATAGGATTTTTAGTGAGGGAGAGGCATGGGATGGTAGTTAGTGAGGGAGAGGCATGGGATGGTAGTTAGTGAGTGAGGCATGGGATGGTAGTTAGTGAGGGAGAGACATGGGATGGTAGTTAGTGAGGGAGAGGCATGGGATGGTAGTTAGTGAGGGAGAGGCATAGGATGTTAGTGAGGAGAGGCATGGGATGGTAGTTAGTGAGGGAGAGTCATGAGATGGTGGTTAGTGAGGGAGAGTCATGAGATAGTGGTTAGTGAGGGAGAGGCATGAGATAATGGTTAATGAGGGAAAGGCATGGGATGGTGGTTAGTGAGGGAGAGGCATGGGATGGTAGTTAGTGAAGGAGAGGCATGGGATGGTAGTTAGTGAGGGAGAGGCATGGGATGGTAGTTAGTGAGGGAGAGGCATGGGATGGTAGTTAGTGAGGGAGAGGCATGGGATGGTAGTTAGTGAGGGAGAGGCATGGGATGGTAGTTAGTGAGGGAGAGGCATGGGATGGTAGTTAGTGAGGGAGAGGCATGGGATGGTAGTTAGTGAGGGAGAGGCATGGGATGGTAGTTAGTGAGCTAGAGGCATGGGATGGTAGTTAGTGAGGGAGAGGCATGGGATGGTAGTTAGTGAGGGAGAGGCATGGGATGGTAGTTAGTGAGGGAGAGGCATGGATGGTAGTTAGTGAGGGAGAGGCATGGGATGGTAGTTAGTGAGGGAGAGGCATGGGATGGTAGTTAGTGAGGGAGAGGCATGGGATGGTAGTTAGTGAGTGAGAGGCATGGGATGGTAGTTAGTGAGGGAGAGGGCATGGGATGGTAGTTAGTGAGGGGGAGGCATGGGATGGTAGTTAGTGAGGGAGAGGCATGGGATGGTAGTTAGTGAGGGAGAGGCATGGGATGGTAGTTAGTGAGGGAGAGGCATAGGATGTTAGTGAGGGAGAGGCATGGGATGGTAGTTAGTGAGGGAGAGGCATGGGATGGTAGTTAGTGAGTGAGAGGCATGGGATGGTAGTTAGTGAGGGAGAGACATGGGATGGTAGTTAGTGAGGGAGAGGCATGGGATGGTAGTTAGTGAGGGAGAGGCATAGGATGTTAGTGAGGGAGAGGCATGGGATGGTAGTTAGTGAGGGAGAGGCATGGATGGTAGTTAGTGTGGGAGAGGCATGGGATGGTAGTTAGTGAGGGAGAGGCATGGGATGGTAGTTAGTGAGGGAGAGGCATGGGATGGTAGTTAGTGAGGGAGAGGCATGGGATGGTAGTTAGTGAGGGAGAGGCATGGGATGGTAGTTAGTGAGTGAGAGGCATGGGATGGTAGTTAGTGAGGAGAGGCATGGGATGGTAGTTAGTGAGGGAGAGGCATGGGATGGTAGTTAGTGAGGGAGAGGCATGGGATGGTAGTTAGTGAGGGAGAGGCATGGGATGGTAGTTAGTGAGGGAGAGGCATAGGATGTTAGTGAGGGAGAGGCATGGGATGGTAGTTAGTGAGGGAGAGGCATGGGATGGTAGTTAGTGAGTGAGAGGCATGGGATGGTAGTTAGTGAGGGAGAGACATGGGATGGTAGTTAGTGAGGGAGAGGCATGGGATGGTAGTTAGTGAGGGAGAGGCATAGGATGTTAGTGAGGGAGAGGCATGGGATGGTAGTTAGTGAGGGAGAGGCATGGGATGGTAGTTAGTGAGGAGAGGCATGGGATGGTTGTTAGTGAGGGAGAGGCATGGGATGGTAGTTAGTGAGGGAGAGGCATGGGATGGTAGTTAGTGAGGGAGAGGCATGGGATGGTAGTTAGTGAGGAGAGGCATAGGATGTTAGTGAGGGAGAGGCATGGGATGGTAGTTAGTGAGGGAGAAGCATGGGATGGTAGTTAGTGAGGGAGAGGCATGGGATGGTAGTTAGTGAGGGAGAGGCATGGGATGGTAGTTAGTGAGGGAGAGGCATGGGATGGTAGTTAGTGAGGGAGATGCATAGGATGTTAGTGAGGGAGAGGCATGGGATGGTAGTTAGTGAGGGAGAGGCATGGGATGGTAGTTAGTGAGGGAGAGGCATGGGATGGTAGTTAGTGAGGGAGAGGCATGGGATGGTAGTTAGTGAGGGAGAGGCATGGGATGGTAGTTAGTGAGGGAGAGGCATGGGATGGTAGTTAGTGAGGGAGAGGCATGGATGGTAGTTAGTGAGGGAGAGGCATGGGATGGTAGTTAGTGAGGGAGATTCATGGGATGGTAGTTAGTGAGGGAGAGGCATGGGATGGTAGTTAGTGAGGGAGATGCATAGGATGTTAGTGAGGGAGAGGCATGGGATGGTAGTTAGTGAGGGAGAGGCATGGGATGGTAGTTAGTGAGGGGAGGCATGGGATGGTAGTTAGTGAGGGAGAGGCATGGGATGGTAGTTAGTGAGGGAGAGGCATGGATGGTAGTTAGTGAGGGAGAGGCATGGGATGGTAGTTAGTGAGGGAGAGGCATGGGATGGTAGTTAGTGAGGGAGAGGCATGGGATGGTAGTTAGTGAGGGAGAAGCATGGGATGGTAGTTAGTGAGGGAGAGGCATGGGATGGTAGTTAGTGAGGGAGAGGCATGGATGGTAGTTAGTGAGGGAGAGGCATGGGATGGTAGTTAGTGAGGGAGATTCATGGGATGGTAGTTAGTGAGGGAGAGGCATGGGATGGTAGTTAGTGAGGAGAGGCATGGGATGGTAGTTAGTGAGGGAGAAGCATGGGATGGTAGTTAGTGAGGGAGAGGCATGGGATGGTAGTTAGTGAGGGAGAGGCATGGGATGGTAGTTAGTGAGGGAGAAGCATGGGATGGTAGTTAGTGAGGGAGAGGCATGGGATGGTAGTTAGTGAGGGAGAGGCATGGGATGGTAGTTAGTGAGGGAGAGGCATGGGATGGTAGTTAGTGAGGGAGAAGCATGGGATGGTAGTTAGTGAGGGAGAGGCATGGGATGGTAGTTAGTGAGGGAGAGGCATGGGATGGTAGTTAGTGAGGGAGAAGCATGGGATGGTAGTTAGTGAGGGAGAGGCATGGGATGGTAGTTAGTGAGGGAGAATCATGGGATGGTAGTTAGTGAGGGAGAATCATGGGATGGTAGTTAGTGAGGGAGAGGCATGGGATGGTAGTTAGTGGTATATAAAAATATTGATACACTAAAACAAACATTTGATTAAACTTCGCCCAAAATACTGATGACTGTGTCTACAAGATTCCCTGTAAAAGACTGAACTAAAATTTATTACGGTCAAACTGGGAAAAAAACTTAAATTAAGTCTTCAAAATTAAAATATACCATTAAAACTTGACATGAATCTAATTCTCTGTTCATTCATGTGAGAGATTTTAACTACCCAATTAATTATCAGAAGGTCGAGAAAGTTGTATTAAGCAGTCCCATGGTTGAGTCCATGGGACTGCTGCCATGGGACTTGTATTAAGCAGTCCCATGGTTGAGATAAATCAAGGTTCATAGAAAGTATTAATTTCAACATGAATATAAGTTCAGGATTATATAAGTTAGATTCATTTATTATGAATAGAACTTGTGAGAATTTAAGCTATTCCTTACCTGTCACTCATGCCACACTCACCTGCCAGGTGGGAGTCATCACACTGGGTGCCATACTCACCTGCCAGGTGGGAGTCATCACACTGGGTGCCACACTCACCTGCCAGGTGGGGAGTCATCACACCGGGTGCAACACTCACCTGCCAGGTGGGGAGTCATCACACTGGGTGAAACACTCACCTGCCAGGT